AAAACCACTCTAGAAAGAGTTCTACTTCAAAAGTAACATCATATTTTTGTTTTATGTTGCATGCGCTTTGTAATCTACTGCTCTTATTATCACATGTTTTTTAGGTGAAATTGTATCTTTGCCTGCAGTAGGTGAATTCGCGGAAAGGAGTAGAACTCGTGTAAGGCAGTGTTCAGTGCAATGATTATTACTCTAATAAAAGCATTCATGAACGCTTTTCAAAGATAGCTTTCAAAAAAAGTTTTTTCAAAGAAAGAAATGAGTTTTGCAATGCTATAGATGCATTAAGAGCACTATTAAGACTTCATCTGAGACTGAAGCTTGAGCAATGGCAAAGGGTGTCTTCCTCGCCCTCCGACCGACGTTGCATGCGTTAATCGCCTTAAGAACTACACAGAATCATAGAAATCGTTACGTCGTCTCCAACTAGTATTTGCAAAACTATGTGTTTAGCTCATGTAGCCGATGAATATACTGCTGGCACTGTTTTTTGTTTCATTTTGACAATAAAGGATTGCAGGTGCGATATTCCTTTGGGTATTCTGGCCTTCGTTCAACGCTGCTGCTGCAGAGCCGGCCGATGCTCGTCAAAGAGCGGTGTGCAATACATTCCTCTCACTGTGCGCTTGCACTGTCACCACATTCATCTTTTCTCAAGCTGTGGACAAACATGTAAGTGTGGAGTGTCAGGAAGCACGGCCTACCTCAAAGTAAGATTGTTTTAGAAGAAATTTGACATGGTGCATATCGCAAATTCAACTTTGGCTGGTGGTGTTGCTATTGGATCCGTGGCCAATGTGGTGCTAGAGCCTGTACATGCGATGGGTATGGGTGTAGCTGCTGGAGCTCTTTCCGTTATCGGATACAAATATATCACAGTAAGCACATTTCGAGTCTTCCATTAGGTACTCGCAAAATCATCTGATCCGTCTTTTTGTAGCCAGCTCTTAGCAGTAAATTTGGCTGTCACGATACTTGTGGTGTGAACAACCTGCACGGAATGCCAG